CTCACACGTTTCGTGGCCCCATAGGGTGCTCCGCCGAATGCCCCAGTGGCAAGGTCCGCATGCAGTTCCACCTCCATTTCGGCGCACCTCTCACACGTTTCGTGGCCCCATAGGGTGCTCCGCGGAAGGCCCCAGTGGCAGGGCCCGCATGCAGTTCCATCCCCATTTCGGTGCACCCCTCACACGTTTCGTGGCCCCATACGGTGCTCCGCCGTAGGCTCCAGTGGCAGGGTCCACATGCAGGTCCACCTCCATTTCGGCGCACCCCTCACACGTTTCGTTACCCCATAGGGTGCTCCATTCACGGCCCCCGTGGCAAGTCCGCATGCAGCTCCCCCTCCATGTCGGCGCACCCCTCACACGTTTCGTGGCCCCATGGAGTGTTCCACTTAGGGCCCCAGTGGCAGGTTCCGCATGCAGTTCCCCCTCCATTTCGGCGCACCCCTTCCACGTTTCGCGGCCACCAAAGGCCCTGGTGGCAGCGCCCGCACGTGGTTCCACCCTGCATTTCGGCGCACCCCTGACGCGTTTCGTGGCCTCAGATGGGGCTGCACCGACGGCTCCCGTGGCAGCGTCCGCATGGCGTACCCGTGCCAATTTTGGCACAGCCGCCACACGCGTCGTGGTCTCAGAGGGAGGCTCACCGAGGACGATGGCGTACCCGTGCCAATTTTGGCACAGCCGCCACACGCGTCGTGGTCTCAGAGGGAGGCTCACCGAGGACGATACTCCAGATTTCGTAATAAAAGGGAGGGGTCTGGACCCTCCAAGACAAGCCATTTCAGACCTCCCCCGTGGGAGAACCCTCCAAAACATCGTCCCCAGACCCCCCAGGCCCTCCAAGATAGCCTGGAAGAGACCCCCCCCGAAATGAGACCCCCCTCCCTTTATTACGAAATCTGGAGTACCCACACCTGCGTTACACACAGCTGCACATGGTTGGGCCCTCCGCCGGGATCATTTTCCGGAGCCTCGGATCTCTGGGGAGAAAGCCGCGGCAACGAGGGCTCCCCAGCAGGCCCCAAAGAGGCGAGAACAAGGGAGCGGCATCCGACGCCTTGACGACGACAAAGACGACGACGACAAAGAGAACGACGGAGTCGACGACGACGACATCGACGACGACGAAGACAACGAGGACGACGATGACGACGACGACGACGACGACGACGACGACAACGACGACGACGACAACGACAACGAAGACAACGAGAACGACGGCGGCGACGTCGAGGACGACGACGACGACGACGACGACGACGACGACGACGACGAGGACGAGGACGACGACGGCGGCGGCGGCGGCGGCGGCGACGACGGCGGCGACGTCGAGGACGACAACGACGACGACCACGACGACGACGACGACGACGACGACGACGACGAGGACGACGGCGGCGGCGGCGGCGGCGGCGACGACGGCGGCGACCGGGACGACGTACAACGACGACCACGACGACGACGACGACGACGACCGACGACGACGACTACGAACACGACGGACGACGGCGGCGGCGCGACGACGGCGGCGACGTCGAGACGACGACGGCCGGCGACCAGAGACGACGACCGACGACGACGACACGGACGACGAACGACGACGGCGCGGCGGCGGCGGCGGCGACGAACCGGCGGCGACGTCGAGGACGACAACGACGACACGACGACGTCGACGACGACGACGACGACGACGACGACGACGACGACGAAGACGACGACGACGACGACGGCGGCGGCGGCGGCGCGGCGACGACGAGGCGACGCGACGACGGCGGCGACGTCGAGGACGACGACGACGACGACGACGACGACGACGACGGCGACGGCGGCGACGACGACGGACGACGACGACGACGACGACGTCGGCGGCGGCGGCGGCGGACGACGACGACGACGACGACGACGACGACGACGACGACGACGATGGCGACGACGGCGGCGGCGGCGGCGGCGGCTGCTGCGACGGCGACGACGACGACGACGACGACAGCGAGGACGGCAGAGGCGACGGCGGGCGGCGGGCGGGCGGGCGGGCCAAGATCGCGCCGGTCCGCGCGAAGATCCCCGCCGCGACCTGCCGGCAGGCTGCGCGCGCGGGGCCGCTCCGTCGGGGTGGGCGGGATCACGGAAGCCGCTGCGGAAGGTTCGTGTCGCCAACTGCGTTCACAACGTTGGACTCCAGCGGCGGGGTCGCCGCCAGTCGACATAACGTGAATTTACCGTGCAGGGAGGGTTGATTTCGTATTGCACACGACAGAACATAACACCTTTCTGACGGTAACATGGCATTCAAAACCGAAAGGAAACATCGGCACCCTAACCAGGCTGCGACCGCGGTCACCAGCAGCCGATCAGCAGCCTCGCGAAGAGGGGTGCAAACCGGACGACCTACCAATGAAATGCCATGTGAAAAGTTTTCGTGGACTCGGGGTTTTTTGACGGTGCTCGGAATTTTCAAGGGGGGGGCCTTGGTAGGAGGACGACGAGCAGCGAGATCAGAAGCCGGAGGAGGAGGAGGGGAGAGGCTGGAGGCTGGGGGGCGAATCGGGTGGAGCAAACCCGACACGCAGGGGAACAGAAGGTCGATGAAGAGGAATGGAAGAGGAGGAGGAGGAGGAGGAGGAGGAGAAGGAGGAGGCAGAGGATTGGATGAGATCGTTGGATGTTGCGTTCTCGCCTCTCCAGTTCCCATTGGCTTCTCAAGACTCAGAATACCTACGCTACGCCCGCCCCAAAACAAGGGCCCAAGAAGGGCCCAAGACGGCCCCATGGGCGCCCGAGGCACGCCCGAAGAGGCCCCCAAGAGGCGACGTCTTGAACTCCGGAGGGCCCCAAAGTGGTCCCCTGAGGGCCCCAAGATGGCCAAAGTGAGCTGCCAACCGGGTCCCATGCCGAAAAATGCGATGACGCATTTATGATTGGCAATGATTGGCTCCTGGGCCTGCCCGAACTGATCCAAATCTTCGGTTTGTTTGACGGCTACCCGCTCTTTGTTCCACTGATTTTCCGACACTTCCCTAATCAGTGCAACTCGCCTGGGTATCGTTTCTGGACGGGCTGATGGGGGTACTTTTTTGCTCGCGAACGACGAAGGCAGGTGCGCGCCGTCAAAGAAGTGGTGAAGCGGAAAAAAAGGCCGGACCACGCAGACAGCGCAAGTGGGGCGAAGACAGAAAGAGGCGAAAGAGAAAGGACAAAGACGAGAGGAGGGAGGCGAAAGAAACACGGAGGAAAGGGACAAACGCGCCGCAGATCAGGCTCAGGCCACGTCGAGGACGAAGCCCCTTGCCGAGGAGCCGGAACTTGTAATAAAGCGCCATGTCAGCCGAGGCGCCCTGGGGGGTAGGGAAGTGACCACTGACGCGAACCGACAGCGCAATGGCCGTCACATCCAACAGGCCGTCTCCAGGGTCGTGTAATCAATCCGCATCGCCGACGCCATCCAGGAGCCACAAGGGGAAGGGGCAGGGGCTGATAGGGGGTACGTTTTTTGGTTGCCAGCCGCAGGCGAGCGCGCCGACGGCGCGTCAAGGTCCGAGCGTGCCGCGCAAGGGCCTGCCTGAATTACCTAACAAGAGGAGGGGGAGCCGACCGCCGAGCCTCAGCCCAGGACCAGGAAGAAGCCGAGGGGGAGGGGCTGTGGGCTGCTAACTACCAGGGGCTGCAAACGTGCGACAGCCTGATGCTGCCAGGGGGCTGCCAGGGGGCTGCCAGGGGCTGCTCACTGCCAGGGGCTGCCAGGAGCAGCGACATGGGGATTTTGTTGTTGGCGGCCCCCTGGCGAAGGTCAAGAAGCGGCGCATCGAACGGGGCGCGAAACGAAGATAATTAGCCGAAGAGGCGCATGCACACGCAAGGGACAATAAGACCCACAATAAACACCGAAGACTGGCGCCGAGATCCCAGCGGGAGGGGACGCCACGTCGCAGCTTGCGGCGGCAACGGCGGTACAGCGTGGCCATGTGATCGAGCCAGGCATCCCAACGGGTGGGGACGAGCGCGGCGATCAGCACTGGAACGGGACTGGAACAGCGGGGAGAAGTCGCCCTGGCGGCGCCTGACTCCGGCCGAACGACACACGGAAGCGAGGCCAAGACGGGGACAAGAGAGCCGGTGCGGACGTCAGCCGGAACACACAGCAACATCAAGAAAAAGAGAGGGCGGCACAGAGAACGGCCTCACTTACCATGGCTCACCGGCGCAGAACTCGGCTGAAGCCCGTCCTTGCACATGAGAGGGGGGCGACCCCGTCAGCGAACACGAGGTGGCGCCACCTCCAGCCTGTAGCCAGTGCATACACAACGTATCCGACTCTCGCGGTTCGGGGGCACAACGATGCAAGTACTGACAGAGGCTGATGCAGACTGATCTGCTAGGGGAACGGACATGAACTGCAAAAGAATGAACCACTCGTGCAGGGCCACTCCCTGGTGAAGCCAGACATCAGGTAACACCGGAAGTGCGGCTAACGAACACGCCTATCTCCACCTGTTATGGAGCCAGCGACATGGGGATACGCGAAGCGTCAAAAATTCAGAATTCACTCGGGCCGCAAGTGGCGCTCGCACTGCCACGGCCTGTGCGCGAGGGATTACCAGACCTCCGACGCCCTGATTATCCAAATCGTGAAAACGCACATTTCTGCGAGTTGGGCATCCGGGTGCTGCTGTCAGGCTGGACGACCATGACAACAACATCCGAGACCAAAATAAGCCAGAGAACGGAAGCAGAGTTCTAGGGCTCACGGATTGAAAGAATCACTACGACGGAGGTCTGGGTAAGGGAGAACGGACGGGTAGGGACTCTCGAGGAAAAAAGACGAAAGAGAGGAGGAGGGAAGGCTGAGGGAAAGGCCAAGCGCTTGAAGGCCACGTCCAAGGTGATTGGAAGAAGGAATGGGGGAGAGGAGGACCACCAGGAAGAGATGGAGAATCAGTAGCAGAACGTAATGGCGGTGGCGGTAGTAAAAAAACAAGAGGAGGAACTCCGGACGACGAGGAGGAGGAGGAGGAGGAGGAAGAGGAGGAGGAGGAGGAGGAAGCAGAGGGGGAGGGACACGAAGAGTGACAACAGTATGAGGAGATCGGAGAGCAAGTGAGCGCTCATTTCAATGTCAGCACGATGAGACTCGTCAATTCATCCGAGCAGTCCAAGCGCACAGCACGATGGGACATGGCTCCTACGAACGACTGACTGAGGAACAGCGGCCGTAGAATAATGCGGTACCCAATCAGGTCTCGACATCCAGACATCGGGCATGCGTCCCAGCGAGCCTGTCCGTAGCTTTGGCCGTCGAAAATCATGGAGAGCTCGAAACCGTAGATGCTCTGGCGCGGGTACAATCGGTCAAGGATGAGATGGAGGATGAGGAGGATGAGTTGAAGGTCGCTGGGGGGGCAGCGTTGTTTCCAGGGCCAGATCCCCGTACGCTCGGCGGGCGCACTTGATCGGTCAACAGCAATCCTTACAGCCGCCCTTCGCGAGAAGCTCTGATTTCAGGTTTGCTCTTGCCGACGATTGGGCTGCTCATGCATGCTCTTGCCCTACAAAAACATTGCCCTCTCCCCCGTGGCCCCAGAAACACAGATCGCGTTCGCTGCCCCTCAGCGAGCTTCAAAGGCTGACCAAGATGAGGCACGCCAGGCGCTACCCGTGCGTGCACTCCTTCCCTCCCCCCATCCTGTGCATGCGCTGCGTGCTCAAGACGGTCGTGGTGGATGACTCAGCCCTGCTCCCGTCCCGTTTTTGACATTTACTCCTGGAAAGGCAACGAACTCCAGTCGTTTGTTCGAGCAGGCAGGGAGGAGGAGGGAGGAGGAAGGAGGCGGAAACGAGGAGCGGAGCAAGAAGGGGGAGGACGACGACGACGACGACAAGGAGACGAAGGAGGACTAGGGAAAGAAGTGGGGGGGTGAGGGCAAGGGGAGCAGGGATTGGAAGGGCGAGGAAAGCATCAAGTTGAACCAGGTTGCTTCCTCCCTCGACCTCAGGGAAAAGAACAAACGCAAGTACATAAAGTAAACAAGGATGCGATGAAGACGGAGGCTCCACCGCTCCAACCTCCTGACATTCCTCTGCCTCCTCCTTCCCCTCCTCCTCCTTCTCCTCCTCCTCCTCCTCCTCCTGCTCCTCCTCCTCCCCGTCGTCCTCCTCCTCACTGCCTCCTCCTCCTCCTCCTCATCCGCCTCCTCCTCCTCCTGCTCCTCCTGCTCCTCCTCCGCCTCCTCCTCCTCCGCCTCCCCCCCTCCTCATTCCTCACTGTTCCCCATTTTGGTATACCTGATTTGTCCATTCCTCCAAACAGCGTTTGCCCTTAGGAATGTTCACTCGATCGACTTGCATAACTACCCTGGCCCATGTCGGCGTCGCCGTCGTCGCCGCCGCCGTTGCCGCCGTCGTCTCCCCTCAAAGTCGGCGGCACTGGCCTTAAGGCCTTCGCGAGACAGTGTTCGACCGGTGCCGGGTGGCTGGGCGCCCATGGGCGCCTCCCGGCGCGACGCGCCTCGGTGGGTCTCCTGATCATCCTCCTCCTCCTCCTCGTCCTCGTCCTCCTCCTCCTCCTCCACCTCCTCCTCCTCCTCCTCCTCCGCCTCCGCCTCCGCCTCCGCCTCCTCATTGCCCCCTCCTCCTCCTCCTCCTCCTCCTCCTCCTCCTCCTGCTCCTGCTCCTCCGCCTCCTCCTCCTCCTCCTCCTCCTCCTCCTCCTCCGCCTCCCCCCCTCCTCATTCCTTACTGTTCCCCATTTTGGTATACCTGATTTGTCCATCCCTCCAAACAGCGTTTGCCCTTAGGAATGTTCATTCGGTCGACTGGAATAACTACTCTGGCCCATGTCAGCGTCGCCGTCGTCGCCGCCGCCGTTGCCGTCGTCGTCTCCCCTCAGGGTCGGCGGCACTGACCGTAAGGCCTTCGCGAGACAGTGTCCGACCGGTGCCGGGTGGCTGGGCGCCCATGGGCGCCTCCCGGGCGCGACGCGCCAGCGTGGGTCTCCTGATCATCCTCCTCCTCCTCGTCCTCGTTCTCCTCCTCCTCCTCATCCTCCTCCTCCTCCTCCTCCTCCTCCTCCTCCTCCTCCTCCTCCTCCCCTCCCCCTCCCCCTCCCCCTCCCCCTCCCGGCGCCCGCCCGTCGGCGCTTCGTGGGCGCCCACGCAGCATTTACCACCCAGCTCGCACCAGAGAGCTTGCACCACGCAGCGTACACCCCACTGCATGCGCCACGCCGCTTCTCCCCTCAAGAGATTGTGAGCAGACTCTGCCGCCGCCTCCCTCCTCGGGCTTCTCGGCACCCCCTGGGGCACCTGCAGAATACAGATGGCTTTGCCGCATCGCTCACGCTCCACTTGAACCCAGACCATCCCGGCCAGGCCAAAAGTGACGCCCTCTTTTCAGCCCATACAGATACTGATATGCGCACACCTTCCTTGATCTCAACTACGAGTTCCAATAAAGCCGCTGCAGCAAAAACACGCCCGAGGTCCACACGCGCAGGCACAGATCGAAGTCATACTAAACACCCAGGTCTGGAAACATTCCAGCCTCGAACCATTTCAAAAGAGCCAGACGTGTCCGTTAAAACCTTTACATATGGTCTGGCCGCGCGCGTGTGCTAAAACCACATGGAGACGCACATGTTTCAGTTCAGCCATCCCGCCCCAGGCCCGCAATCACATTCTACCACGCGGTGCACCCCCATTGATCCAGCATGCGCCCTCCCCACGAGCCCGTAGCAAACAGTACAATGCAATGCGGGCCACGCGCGAGCACCGCCACCGTCGAAACCCTTACAACGAATTGGCTATCAAAGCACGTCAAAATATCTGACTCCGAAAACGGAGTAAGACCGTCATTGTTCCAACAATGAGTCCTCCAGGTGTCTTGCATTCCCGCGGGAGCGCAATCTTCTCACCATCACCCTCATCGGCTCCGCAATATCATGCCGCCGTCATCGACAGTCGCCGCCATTGCCGCCATCACCACTCAAAAACTGTCACCACCACCGCATGGACATTCACATCGTCTTCGTTTACATCAGCATCGGCGCCGTCATTGGCCATGCCGTCGTCGTCGTGATCATCGCTACACCATCGCGTCTATCATCATCGTTGCCGTCCTTGTCGACGTCATCATGATACCGCGCCCGCCCGAGTCATCGACCCGCCTTGAAGCGCCCGCGCGCCGGCGCGGCACATGAGACGCGCTGGGAAGTTACCATAGATAAGAACCATGATCGCTGCACCGTTTGTGCCAAACCAATTGCCCTGCGCGCGATCATGCGCGCGGCGCGATAGCGTAGCCCCAGAGGTGTGCCACCCAGCGCCAAGGAGGCACCGCAATCGAGGCTGTATGGGTGGTGCAGAACAAGTTACGGGCGGGAGGGTGGGATGATTGCGCGAGCAGTGGAGTTGGCAACTCAGGAGCTGGCAAAAAGGCAAAAGGCCCCCAACTCTTTGGGCGGATGCGGTGTAAAGAGAACGGCCCAAGAGGCCTCCAAGAGGGCCCTAAGATGGCTTAAGAGCGCCCCAAGACGGCCCAAGAGGCGCCGAAAACAGGCTAAGAGAGCCCCAAGACGGGCCCAAACGGGGTCCAAGAGGGGGACCACGAACCGAAAATCCGAGCCGTCTGCCCAAAGAAGCCCAAAAGAGACCCCAAGAGGCCCCCAAACGGCCCCCAAACGGCCCCCAAGATGCCTCCAAACTGCCTCCCAGAGGCCCACGAGAGGCCTCCCGCGAGATACCATTGAACATCCAATAGGCTTCATACCCACAACCCAGGCAAGGTGGCGGGATGGGCCGAAGGCCACAAGGAGTCAAGATATTCCTTGAACTGCGGCCGCAACGCTTTGCGGCCTCCTGCCCGAGTCACCAACTTTCCGCTCGGAGAGTAGAGGGCCACATGCAAACCCTACCTCTGCCCCCCACGATTTCTGAGGGGGGGGTGAGTGGCCTCCGCTAGAACGACGTGAACCCCACCCTCCCCCTCAGAAACCGTGGGGGGTAGGGGTAGGGCTCGCATGTGGCCCCCTGGAGAAGCACCGTGTGCCTCCCCGTTGCAGGTGGCCCGCTGGTGGTGGCCCGCTGGTTTTAAGTCGGTGTGTCCCCCTACAGGGGGGATTTTCGACGAAAACTAAAAAATATCCTGAAATGTCCCCAAATAGTCAAAAAATACTCAAAACATAATCCCCAGACTATTTTTTTACTATTTTTGAATATTCCTCCTGTAGAGGTACGGGCCCGATTTAACGCTGGTGGTGGTGTCGCTTCTCCTTCCTCGGAGGGGGCAAACGCCCTGCACCTGCCACGAAGGAAAAGGGCCGCGGGGGACACGGGTCCTGGTCCCCAGGGGATTTCCCCGGGACCGGTCTGTCATCCCGGGCAATTCTACGATTAGGTCGGGCCTGTCCCCCTACAGGGGGATTTTGGACGAAAAACGAAAATACTCAAAAAAGCACGCAACAGATGCCCAAAAATACCCAAAAATAGTTCCCGGACTATTTGTTTGACTATTTGGGGAGATTCCCCCTGTGGAAGGACAGGCCCGACTGAATCCCACGACAGGGACAGCGAGGGCGCGAGGAGAGCACCCGGAGGCCCGCCCCCTCCGGGGCCCGACTCCTCCGCGCAGGCGCCGGGCGGGGGCGCGGCGTGGTCTCGGGGCGGCGTGGCGCAGGGCGCGCCTGCTCCAGCCCGTGGAAGTAGTTGTACATCCAGGCGCGGCTGCCCTTCTCCTGCGGCGGCGCGGGGGAGAAGTGCCCGAGGGGAGCATCTAAGGGCCACGCAGGAGCCAAGCTAACTAGCAAGGGTCGGCGCGCACCCCAGGAGCGGTGTACCTCCTCCCCACCCCTCCTCCCCTACCCCTATGCGATGGTGGGGGCGGTGACGAGTGGGCGCCCGCTCGAAAACGTGCATCGTGCGCGGGCGCGGCGCGGAGCGGTGCGGGAGCAGCTGGACGCCCGAGGGTGGGCATTGAAGAAAGGGGCACGGCGCACGACGCCCAGCATCGAATGCGTGCCAGAGCGGTGCGGGAGCAGCTGGACGCCCGAGGATGGGTGTTGAAAAAAGGGGTACGGCGCACGACGCCCAGCATCAGATGCGTGCCAGAGCGGTGCGGGAGCAGCTGGACGCCCGGAGGTGGGTACTGAAAAAAGGGGTACGGCGCACGACGCCGCCCAGCGTCATAGATGCTGCCCACAGCCGACAGCGGCCGCCGCTCTTGGCAGCCGGCCTTCTGGCTCAAACGGGCAACATCCGCGGGGACACCGACAGCAGGCCCTGTTCGAAATGGGCAGGAACTGCTGTCGGTTTCTGTACATTTGAGTATCGTTTAACCGATCCCAGTCCCCAGTGGCGTGGCCTGTGTCCAACTGGCCGATTTACCCCCCTAGATGGGGATGTAGGCTTTTTCCTTCGGGCCTCGAGGGGTATATCCCCAACTGGGGTGGTTGGATGGCGAGGGTCGCGATGGCGATGGGGATGGGGATGGAGATGGGGATCGGATGAACTGTAGAGACCACTGGTTCAGTGCCCAGTTCGATCGCCCCGAGAGCAAGAGCAGCAGCTGAAGGACACATCTCCGAGGAGAGGGGGCGCCGGCTCCCTGCTTCCCGGCGGCTGGCCCTGGGGCCAGTCCCCCGCACACCTCCGACGAGTCGTGACAGGGTCACTGCCCAGCGCCTCTCTTCACGAGTTCGGCGTCGAGGAGCCGCTTTGGACCCTGGGGACCATCCAGGGTCCAAAGCACCGTTCATTGACGGGTCGTCGGCACGCACCAGGGGTGGGGCGAGAGGGGGAGGCCTTCTCAGGAGGCGAGGGAGGTTCTTGGAGTGGCTCGGAGGTTTCTTGGACTGCTTCTCAGACGGGTCCGGCTGACCTGACTGGACAAACGAACGCTTAGCATCTTCCCGGGAAAGCGATCAATTTAGTAGGATGCGTGTGGCTCCAGCAGCCTGGGGGGGTCCCAGGGGTGACTTGCCCATCGGGTTCGGGTGAAGCCATGATTGAGACAGCTCCATGAAGGGACTCACAACCAGTACTCAGTACTCCCACTCCTGGAACCCTGGCTCCCAGGAGTCGAAAGTGCAATCCAAAAGGTCATAGTGTAAGAGGTGGTGTGATGAATGGGGTCCTTCGTCATATAGCGATCATGAGCTACGGTACTCGAGCAGAATGGCTGCAAGTGACTACAGCAACGCCCGAGCCCAAAGGACAGCACTCCCCTCCTTTGCTTAGCGGCTTCATTTTTCGTCGAAAAGTCGGAGGTTGGGGGAGAAAAATCGCCGGATTCTCGCTCTGTGAATCTCCTCTTGGGGCACGCGCCGAGGTTGTAGTCGAAGGGACTTCCTTCATCCCATTCCTGGGCCGTCTCCCGCTCCAACAAGTTTCATGGCTCCTCCCTTTCTCCATAAAAAGGGCGGGGAAAGGCTATTCCTGGAAAGCCTCCGGGTTGCCCTTCTTGTACATCTGCGTCAGGCGGTGGATGTCCTGCCGCCCCTCCCAGGACAACATGCCTTGCCTCCGCCCCCTCGCTCCCTCCTCATCAGCTTGGAACCGTCCCTGGACCACTGGGCCCATCCTGGCTGGCTCTTCACCTGGGCGTGATTTCGGTCAGTCCAGGAGCCCAGTAACGGTCTCCAAGCGAGCACGTCACAAACAACAGATCCTCGTGCCGCGCGTGCCCGCCGCCCCTCGCAGTCTGCGCCCCCCCCCTGACGGCGACCCGTGGCATGTCTGAGAGGCGCGTCGAGGAATGACCACGCCTTGAGGCATCAGGGTAGCGCTTCCATCCATCATCCTCAACCCCATCACAAGCACCATAATCATCATCATCATCATCATCATCATCATCATCATCAGCAGCAGCATCATCATCATCAAAATCAGTATCCTAATCAGCATCATCATCATCAACATCATCAGCATCAGCATCATCATGAGCATCATCAACAGCAGCATCATCATCAGTATCAGCATCATCAGTATCATCATCCTCATCCGCATCAGCATCAGCATCAGCATCATCGTCATCATCATCAGCATCATCGTCAGCATCACCATCATCAGCATCATCAGCATCATCAGCATCACCATCATAATCAGCATTATCAGCATCTGCATCATCATCATGCAACAGCATCTGCAGCATAATCAGCATGATCATCGGCATCACCATCAGCATGACCATCAGTATCAGCATCAACAGCAGCGTCAGCATCATTATCATCAGCATCGGCATCAGCATCCGCATCAGCATCGTCATCAGCATCATCAGCATCATCATCGTCATCAGCATCATCAGCATCGTCATCGTAATCAGCAGCACCATCAGCATTATCATCATCATCATCACCACCACCATCATCATCATTATCGTCATCGTCATCGTCATCGTCATCATCACCAATCAGTCTCGTCATCATCAGCAGCAGCGTCTTCATCATCAGCAGCAGCAGCCTTTCCATCCCAATCCTCTCCTCCTCTTCCTCCTACTTCTGCTCCTCCTCCTCCTCCTCCTCTTATTCCTCCTCCTCCTCCTTCTCCTCCTCCTCCTCCTCCTCCTCCTCCTCCTCCTCCTCCCCCTCCTCCTCCCCCTCCTCCTACAGTCAACCAGTGCAATAAAGATGCGCGATAAGGATGCAAGGGTCTTGGACGCCCAATTCGAAGCTCTTCGAGCGGGGCGCGGCCACCGAACGTGGCGAAGGATGGACCGAGGGGGCAAGGATGCAAGAGTACCCTTTGGGAAGGCTGCCCATCCTTACTACGCGGGTTGACTGAACTCCTCGTCCTGCTACTCCTCCTCCTCCGCCTCCGCCTCCTCCTCCTCCTACTCCTCCTCCTCCTCCTCCTCCTCCTCCTCCTCCTCCTCCTTCTGACCCGGGCCTCCCGATCGAGGTACCCCCAGATGCCTCCGACTGTCCCTGGGACCCGCTGGCGGCCCCACGGGGGCCCGAGAACGCCTCCGAGCATCGATCCGCCCCCACCGCCCCTGGTAGAGCTCGAATAGCAGGGGCTGGCGGGCGCACACGTCTTACAAGCGCAAAGAAGCCCAGTGGCACGGGGGAGGGGGGGGGCGGGGGGAGAAGCCCGCCCGCCCGCGCACTCCTGCTAAGTCGCCGATGCGTGAATGAACCCAGCGCCCCCGGCCGCCTCAAGGGGCGCTCGAACATGGCGGCCCGCCACGCGGCATCGGCGCCACCACCCGCGCGCACCGCCGGCAGGGCGCACACCGAATGCCGGAATCGAGGGGATGTTGGTTGTCGCCCCCAAGAAAGACGCAAGCGTGCTGTACAGTGCCATTTTGTCCAGCGCATCTTTTGGAGAGAGGAAAAAAACGGGGCGGGCAAGGGAGAGGAACGCGGACGGCCGGTCGTCGGCATACCACTCGACTCCTGATGTTCTGACGCCAGGGCCCTGTCATAAAAGAGGGCTCTCTGCGGCGAGCGGCAAATCGCGCACGGTGGACCGCATCACGCCGAAAAAAAAAAACTTTGACAGCTGACGCCCATGCCCACACGCCAATGTGTCGACCAAAGTTACGACCATACTGCGCCGCTGCGTGTCAGAAAACTCGCGCGTGCGTACCCCTTACCGACGACGTAGGGACTCGCACTGGTGCCCAACACGAGAGGGAAGAGGGAAAGGTGAGGAAGAGGCGGAGGAGGAGGAGGAGGAGGAAGAGGAGGAGGAGGAGAAGGAGGAGGAGAAAACTGGAAAGGCGCGCTTGCGTGCTCAAGTAGGAAATGACCCCTCAGGTGTTAATTCGATGTTCTGCGATGTCTAGGCGCTAATGTGATGTCCTTCAGCTCCCCCACTTTGTGATTTCTCGCGCGGAACTCACCCCGACCACCACCGTGTCAGACACCTTCACCCCCCGGACCACCCCCTCAGCACCTCTGTTCTTGGGCCCCCCCACCTTGCAATTTATCGCCCAGAACCCACCCCGACCCCCACCGTGTCTGACACCTTTCTCACCCCCCACCCAGACCACCCCCTCAGAACCCCTGTCCTTGGGCAGACCTCTGTTTTTGGGCCCCCCCACCCTGCTATTTCTCGCCCAGAATCCACCCTGAACCCCACCGTGCCTGACACCTTTACCCTCCAGACCACCCCCTCAGGACCTCTGTTTTTGGGCCCCCCCACCCTGCAATTTCTCGCCCGGAACCCACCCCTACCCCCACCGTGTCTGACACCTTCACCACCCAGACCACCCCCTCAGGACTTCCGTTCTTGGGCCCCCCCACCCTTCAATTTCTCGCCCGGAACCCACCCCGACCCCCACCGTATCTGGCACCTTCACCCCCCAACCACCCCCTCAGACCTGTGTTCTTGGGCCCCCCACCCTTCATTTCTCGCCCGGAACCCACCCCGACCCCCACCGTGTCTGACACCTTTACCCCAGACCACCCCCTCAGGACCTCCGTTCTTGGGCCCCCTCACCCTGCAATTTCTCGCCCGGAACCCACCCCGACCCCCACCGTGTCCGACAGAGCCATACCGGCAGCGCGGCGACGCGGAGGGACTCCCCCTCCTCCTTTTCCTCCTTTTCCTTCCCCTTCTGATCCTCAGCCCCCTCCTACTCCTCCTCCACCACCTTCTTCCTCGCTCCTCCTCCGTCGTCCTCATCCTCCTCGTCCTCCACAACTACACAATATGAAAATACTCTCCCACTTCCCCTGATGGCGTCCCGAAGACATCAGACCCCCCCCCCGCGTACTGGTTCTTACACACAAGATTCCCGGGAAACGGGTGTTCGCCTGCGCTTGTTTTCAAAATGTTGCTCTCGCTGAGGCGCCGGCCTCATTTCTGCTCCCGAATCGTTCCGAATCGCGCTCCCGCTGCAGCGTGGGCCTCATTTTCGGATCGGTGTTTGGCCTCCGTCGTTCAGGATGGCGTTCTCGCCCCAGCGCGGGCCTCCTTCTCGCGCGCCCATCCGCCCGCCACCACCGCGCCGCACCACCACCACCACCACCACCACCACCACCACAACCACCACCACCACACCAGCACCACACCAGCACCAGCACCACACCACCACCACCACCACCACCACCACCACCACCACAACCACGCACACACGCACGCACGCACGCACGCGCACCACCACCCACTACGCACGCACGCGCGGAGCCACAGGTCCGCTAGGACACGCGTCCGCGGATAGAGAAAATCAGCGCCATGGTAAGGGATGGGAGGGAGGGGTAGGACGTCAGATATGACGCGAGCGCACCTAGCTCGTCCTCCTCCCCCTCCCCCTCCTCCTCCTCCTCCCCCCCCTCCTCACCAGAGAACCAGAGCACTACCAATTAGCACCACAAGACAAGTGAAACCTCCCCGACCTTATTTGGGGTCGTTTGCAGAGGCGGCAGCCTCCAAATCTGATGTTCTGCAGTGTCGGAGCGGAAAAGGTATTGGGCTTCCCTATGTCGACCCGGCCTGACAAGATCAATTCCAGCCCGAACACGGCTCGTGAGAGAGACAAAGCTAAGCGAAGCTTCAAACAGCTCCCGAACCAAGTACAGTCGGGGCGTTGACCCAAGGAACCCTACATCAGGAACGAGTCCCCTTTTTCCCATAAGTTAAACTTCGATTTCCGATCGAAAACATAAGAAAAACCTGAGGCGAGCTGTAAAGCACTTCAGGAATGCGGAGCCCCTCCCCAACGAAAAGGGTTTCTTCTTCGGGGCCCCGACTGTATTAGCGAAATGAGCCACCACCAGGGACCGAGCAGAAGTCACGCCGTGTGCTCTCACGACCCAGCTGGAAGCACCAGAGAACCACCTGGGAATCGGGACGCCGGCACTCACGCGCGAGTGGACGAACGGTCGCAACAGAGCGCGCAGAGGGCAACCGAGCCAGCTCCGGGCCAAACCGAGATTCCACGATCCTCGGCACGGGCCGCAGACTGAGGCACCTTGGGCCCGCGGTGGGCCCACCGAAACCCTCGGCGCTCAGAGTCCGCTGCGCGACCGCCACGTTTCCGAGCGGCAGGGTCAGGGGAGGCGAACCCCTCTCCGCCAACCCCTCCGGGTCCCGCCAAGTGCGCCACACGCTCGCGGCGGTGGCACCCTCAGCCCAGGCCGCCGCCCCGGGCTGCGGAAAAGAAGTTGGCGGTTGAATGCAGTAGGGGCCCGACCACAAGCAACCTTCCACAAGAAACCCAGCCCTGAGACCCAAGGACGCCCATTGGTTTTTGGTGCGGGAGCGTCACGATTCCCACTGCGAAACAATCGAAGCTCAAGAAACCCACGAAGATCAGGACACCCAAGAGTTTCTTGGCATGGCCCCCCACTGTAACAACCAAAAAGTGACGCCCATGGGGCCCCTCGCCGCGCAGCCGCCGCAACCTCCCCGTCTCCCCCCTTTCGCCTGCCGTTGGCGCCTGCTCTGCCTTGTCGGGGCGGCTCGCGAGAGCGCCGAGGGGGTCGGGGGCGAGGTTGGGGGGGGCTCGATGCTCTCAACGGGGGACTCGGGGCAGAGGAAGTGCG